AGAAAGTGTTTTAGGTCAAGGTTAATATTGGAATTTAAGGTCCTGTAGATGTAGATTGCACAGTAGTAAGTGTGGATGTACTGAACAGGGAGTAAGTTTAGATCTATGAAGAGTGGGGGGGGGGGTGTTACCAGGGATGGGATTTAGTGATTATTCTTACTGCGGCTTTTTGTTGGGTTATTATTGGCTTTAGGTGTGTTGCTGCAGTTGAACCCCAAGCACAGATAGCATAGGTGAGGTATGGATATATAAGTGAATGGTTTAGTGTGAGAAGGGCAGTTTGCGGCACGTAGTATCGTATCTTGGAGAGGATCCCAACCGTTTTGGATACTTTTTTGGTTATGTGTTGGATATGGGTGCTGAAGGTATTAGCAGGCAGGTGTGTTAGGTAGTTATCCTAGATAAATGGTTGTGTCATCATTCCTTCCTACCTTCCTGCATTCCTTTCCTACCTACCTTCCTTCCTTTCCTTCCTTCCTTACTTTTTTCCTTCCTTTCATCTCGTCCTTTCTTCCTACCTTCCTTTCTTCCTTCCTTCCTTCTGGTTTCTATAGTATATATACTCACATATATAGTCACTGGATACTTTCATATAACTGCTATTACATTCAGCAAGCTTGTGTTGTGTGTGAGTGTGTGGACTTATAATTGTTCTGAGTCAGGGTCGGCAGCTGTCAAAATAACATATTTTCTCATTATGCACTCCCCCTACAGCCTGTCAAAACAATGGGGTTGGATGCTCGTTTCCCCTCCATCCTACTATCTAATTATCTTTCTCCCTCATTCTCTCTTTCTCTCTTTCATTCTCTCCCTCATTCTCATTCTCTCTTTCATTCTCTCCCTCATTCTCATTCCCTCATTCTCATTCTCTCCCTCATTCTGTCATTCTCTTCCTCATTCTCTCCCTCATTCTCTCCCTCATTCTTTTCCTCATTCTCTCTCTTTCTCCTTCATTCTTCATTCTCCTTCATTCTTCTGGTATCCTGGGCATTGCTTTTGGTCACAAATGCCTCAAAACCATGAAATTGATCTTCAATGACACTTACATTTGTGTTAGAGCATCACTTGGGAAAAGTAGAGTCCCAGATTTGCTGGGGAGTAACATATTTCTTAACACTAGGCATGCTGAGCAAGGACTACTGAAATTGCATTCCCACAATGCACCACTGGCTCCCTGATTTTTTTTATGTGGTACACACTGACCATGGAGACCCATTCTCTCACATGTGGGCCTACCAGTTTTCTCCTGCTTGATTTGAAGCCACTAGAATTTATGCATATTCATACATCACACACAGTGGCTCGTAAGACATATACAGTGGTCCCTCGCTTTTCGTAGTTCTTGGCAATCGTAAATTTCGCCAATCATAGGGGTATTTTCGTATAAACATGGACTCGCTTTTCATAGGTTGACTCGCGAATAGTAGTTCGTCCGGGACGCATATGCACGGTGTGAGCCGGGGTGGCCTCCCTACCCAGCCAATCTGGCATTGTTTACCAGTGAGTGAAGGTCCCCTCAAGTGCTCCTATGAAATATTTCATAATATTCCACTCATTTTAGTGCTTGCAAGTACTAAATAAGCTACCATGGCTCCAAAGAAAGCTCTTAGCACCAAGCCTGTGGTAAAGAAGGTGAGAAATATGTACAGTGACAAAGTCTTGGGCCATTTTAGGGAAGTGTTAAAGAGACGCCAGAAACAGAGCTCTCTCCACAGTTACTTTGCGAGACAGGACTAGAGTGACTCTCAAGGTGGTCCAAGTGGCATTAAGAAACAGAGAAGAGAAGCAACCCCAGAGAAGCAATTGGTACCTGAGGTGTTGCTGGAAGGGGATTCCCCTTCCAAACTGTAAACAATCCAATCTCTCTCCTCCTCCAGTCTCCCATACACTAAGAAGAATCTCCAATAAAGGTAAGTGTTACGCTATTAATGTTTCATTCATTATTTCCCATTGTTTTGTTTATGTACTACATGTATATTTCATGTAAAAATTTTTTTTGTTTTAATACTTCTGGGTGTCAGGAACGGATTAATTGTATTTACATTATTTCTTATGGGGAAAATTGATTCTCAAATCATAAATTTCGTTTATAGTAATGGCTCCAGGAACGGATTAACTATGAAAAACGAGGGATCACTGTATATATATACGACCAAAACAGTCAAAGGGTTAAAATCAGGCATAATCACAGACAACACCACAGACCATTTCCCTACCTTCCTCATAACAAATCTTGGCAAATTACCCCAAGACACTACATAACATTAAAGGTGATATGAAAAAGACCTGGGAAACCCTGTCTGAAATTCTAGGAACTAAAAAGATATCCAAAAACAAAATCAAATTACCAAAATCGGACAAACGCCTACTCCCGCCAACTGAAACAGCAAACAGACTCGATGTTTTCTTCTCCACCATAGGAAAAAATGTAGCGAGCAAAATCCCAAGCTCAAACACCTGTCCATCAGACTACCTCATGGGTACCTACCCTAATTCACTATTCCTAGCCCCAACCAACCCAACAGAAGTCTCGCTCATCATCAACACCCTTAAAAACAAGGCAGGGGACATAAATAACTTACCATCTTTTATGTACAAAAAAGTATCTCAAGTACTGTCACCAATTACTGCAACACTCTTTAACAAATCCATCGAATCCTCCACCTCCCCAGCAATTCTCAAAATAGAGAGGGTCACCCCAATCCACAAAGGAGGTGATCAAACTGACTTCAGTAACTATAGACCAATATCTAACCTACCTCTGCTCTCTAAAATCTTTGAAAAATTAATTCATAGACAGATCTATTCCTACCTCATTTCACACAACATACTGAACCCTTGTCAGTTTGGATTCAGGACTAATAAAAGCACAAATGATGCTGTTTACCTGGAGAGTTACCTGGAGAGAGTTCTGGGGGTCATCGCCCCCACGGCCCGGTCTGTGACCAGGCCTCATGGTGGATCAGAGCCTGATCAACCAGGCTGTTACTGCTGGCTGCACGCAATCCAACGTACGAGCCACAGCCTGGCTGGTCAGGTACTAACTTTAGGTGCTTCTCCAGTGCCTGCTTGAAGACAGCCAAGGGTCTATTGGTAATCCCCCTTATGTATGCTGGGAGGCAGTTGAACAGTCTCGGGCCCCTGACACTTATTGTATTGTCTCTTAACGTGTTAGTGACACCCCTGCTTTTCATTGGGGGATGTTGCATCGTCTGCTGAACTAATATACACCACTCTTGAGAAGAAAGAAGTCCCGCTGGGAATCTTCATTGATTTACGTAAAGTTTTTGATACAGTTGACCATGATTTGCTGCACATTAAATTAACACACTATGGTATACGAGGACACTCCCTCAACTACCTAAAGTCTTACCTTAGTAACAGAAGCCAATATGTGTACACAAATGCAGCAAACTCTTCCACTCAACCAATCACAGTCAGTGTCCCACAAGGAAGTGTCCTTGTCCCACTCCTCTTTCTCATCTACATCACTGACCTACTCAAACCCATATTATGTGCAGACGACACAACATACGTCTTCTCTCACCCAGACCTAGTCGCTGGCTAACACTGTTAATGCTGAATTGCAGAAAATATCTACCTGGATGATGACAAATAAGCTTAACCTCAATACTGACAAAACCTATTTGAAATTTTTCTAATCTCTTATTTCTTGCATAGAAATAATCCTTGTTTGTTAAAGTGTAAATATTTCTTATTTATAAATTACAGTGTAAATATTTCTTATTTATAAATTACATACATACATTGTTTGTGTGAATAGTGTTGGTGGCTTCTGCTGTCGCCTACCACTAATATGTATGGCTTCTCTCAGTGGCCCTTATAAACCCAACATCACCACTTATTCCTCACATACGTAATGACATATTCATTCTAGAGAATATATCATGTTCCTATGTTATTAATATTGTTTATTATGTCATATTAGATAAATTGTGATAGATAAATATGCCATGGAATATAGTTCTTCTCTATAAAATATATTTTTTATTTATACTTTTGGATGTCTGAAATGGATTTATTGGATTTACATTATTTCTTATGGGGAAAATGGTTTTAATTTTAGTCAATTTCACATTTTGCTGGAGTTTCTGGAACGAATTAAAGACAAAAAGAGAGGGTCCATTGTATATTGAATATTTCAATTAAGTAGTCCGTTTAATCACTCGACTGCTGGACATGGACAGATACCTGATAAAACTTACACTGGGGTTCCACACATTCGGCACCCTCTCTTTGGTGTTCCACATTTTCATTGGCTTTCAACTGATTATTGTTCATTATGTTTGGTGCTTTTACCACTGTTTTTGTACAAGAGCTGTATAAGGGAAGGACAACTGGCACCATAGTTTAATGTAAATATTGTATGTACTGTGTATTTATTTTACTTTTTTTTATCATTTTTTATGCCTAGCTGTATTAGGCACTTAATATATGATAGTGTAAACATATGCATTTTAGACTTATTCAGTAATGAAAAGACAGCTCTTGGGGTCGGGACCCCAAGATCCATGCAAACAAGGCCCTCCTGTACTTATTGCACAAGGTCAGGACCCTAAGAGCCATACAAACAGGGCCCTCCTGTACTTAGTTTGCTGTATTGACAAACTACTGGACATACTAAGAATAAACTAGAGTACAATACTGTATTACCTGTAAATGAACCTATAAAGAAAATGGGTTAAAGCACAGGACAAAACAATAGAGTACAGTACAGTTATTTTTCTTATCTTCTTGGTGGATAAATGAGCTTACAGATGTACAATACAAATGTAAGATATACAGAGAGAGTAAAGCAGGCATACCTGCCCTGCCTGCTAAGATGTGATCAACCCACATTTTGTTTGATCTTTGCTGTGTAGGGCACCTGTTCACTTCATTTGAATTAAGAGATATTTTATAAGCAATGAAACTGTTTACAAGTTCCAGTAAATTATTCTTTGACGTCAACACAATATTTTGAATGTTTTATTTTTCAGGGTCTGCAGTCTGAAGCACCACCCATTATAGAGTCCAGACATCCTGAAGTTACCTGGCCACAATATGGCCGAGTCAGTTTCCGTAAAGTGCAGATGAGATATCGTCCAGAAACACCTCTTGTTTTGAAGGGTGTCACCTTCCACATAGATTCAATGGAAAATATAGGTTTGTCTTCAGTTTAGTTCTTAATTTTTTACATAATAATTGCTAAAATTATTTTATAAATGTTATAAAGTGCAAGTTATGGATGACTGTTGGATGACATGGTAGTTACCTGGAGTTTACCTGGAGAGAGTTCCGGGGGTCAACGCCCCCGCGGCCCGGTCTGAGACCAGACCTCCTAATATAATTGTCCCCCCAGGATGCGACCCACACCAGTCGACTAACACCCAGGTACCTATTTGCTGCTAGGTGAACAGGACAACAGGTGTAAGGAAACGTGTCGGAATGTTTCCACCCGCCGGGAATCGAACCCGGGCCCTCCGTGTGTGAAGCGGGAGCTTTAGCCACCAGGCCACGGTGCCAGACAATGCTTTGTAATCAAAAATGTTTGTAAACTGAACTGAAGAACACATGGGAAAAGTAGGATTATGTTCACTAGATGGTGTGACATTGACCATGTAGGTGGTAATATCAATGGCCATGTAGATGGCAGTATCAATGACCATGTAGGTTGCAATATCAGTGGCCTGGTGTGGTTGCTGGATGAGTGTGCAGTTGCTGGTGTGGGCAGTAATGAGGGTGGTGGGTGGCCACACGACTAGGGGTGTGGGCCATGAAAGAAGGGGTAGGGTGTAGGTGTGGGAGGGGGCTTTGGGGAGTGGCGTGAGTGAAAGTTATGATTATCAGTGACCTAGTGTGGGTGGTGATGTGGATGATGGGTGTGGAGTTGATGGTGTAAGTGGTAATGAGGGTGGTGGGTGATAAGGTGTGTGGATAGCATGTTAAGATTAAAGATCAAGTAAGGTATGGGCATCAAGGCATGGGGAAATGGCATGAGTGAGGGCATGGGGCTAGGGAAGGTGTGATCTTGAGATAGTGGGGAACTGGACATTGTGGAATGGTGTAGGTGTGTAGCCATGGGGGACATTGTATGGGTGGGTTGTGTGGGTGGAGGTTTCTAGTTGGAATGACATGGGTGAAGGTGTGTGGCAACTGGGAAATTATTGGGATGGGTGGTATGGGTGAGGTTGCTGGGTGTGGCTAGGGCATGAGAACATCAGGAAGGTGGTGGAGGTTGCTAGGTGTGTGGCGAGGGCATGTGAAATGAGGAAGGGAGTGGAGGTTGCTGGTTGTGGTGAGGGCATGTGGACATGAGGAAGAGAGTGGAGGTTGCTGGGTGTGTGGTGAGGGCATGTGGATATGGGGGAATGGAGGTTGCTGGGTGTGTGGCAAGGGCATGTGGACATAGGGAAAGGAGAGGAGGTTGCTGGGTGTGTGGTGAGGACATGTGGACATGGGGAAGGGAATGGAGGTTGCTGGGTGTGTGGCTAGGGCATGGGGACACGGGGAAGGGAGTGGAGGTTGCTAGATGGCAAATGGTACAGTGAAGGTGTGTGGCTGAAATGTGGTGTGAGAGGTGTTATGGCTGAACCTTACTGTGAGGTATGGTGTGAGAGGTATTATGACTGAACTCACTGTGAGGTGGAGGAGAGTGAAGCTGCTACCACAACCTTCACCTGACACTCACACCCACCACACCCTCACCCACCAAACCCACCACACCCACACTCACCACATCCTCACCCACCACACCCTCACACACCACACCCATCACACCCACACCCCACACCCACACCCTCACCAACCACACACACCCACCACACCCTCACCCATCACATCCACACCCACCACACCCTCACCCATCACACCCACACCCACCACACCCTCACCCATCACAACCCACACCCACCACACCCTCACCCATCACACCACACACCCACCACACCCACACCCATCACACTCACACCCAGCACACCCTCACACACACACTTACACCCATCACACACCCACACCCACACCCACACCCCACACCCACAACCCACACACACCCTCAACCACCACACACACCACCACACCCTCACCCATCACACCCAACACCCACCACACACCTCACCCATCACACCTACACACCACACCCTCACCCATCACACCCACAACCCACCACAACCTCACCCATCACACCTACACCCACCACACCAACCACCACATCACACTCACACACCTCATCACCACACCAAACCCATCACAGCTCAATCACCACACCACACCTCACCACACACCACTACCACCACTCACTCCACACTCAAGCACACTCCCTCAGCTACCACACCAACACCCATCACAGCCTCACACTCACACCACCCTCACCCACACACCACTCACCACCACACCTACCACCTCACCACACCCTCACCCACCACACTACAACACCTCACCACACACCTCACCCACCACACACACACCTACCCACACACCTACACACCACACTCACACACCCCCACATCACCACACCCTCACTCACCCCACCAACCTCACACCTACCACTCAAACATCATCACCACATCCCTCACTCCACCACACCTCACACACTCACACACACCCTCACCCACCACACCCACACCACCCTCACACATCCACACTACACCCACCACACCTACACACACTCCACACCCACCACACACCCACACCACCCTCACCCACACATCCACACCCTCACCACCCACCCTCACACCCACACCACCTTCACTCACCACACCCACACCACCCACCCACCACACCACACATACTTCACCTCACCCACCCACCACACCCCTCACCTCACCACACACCCTAACCACACCACCCAACCCACACACCTCACTCACCACACCCACACCACCCTCACCACCACATCCACCCTTACCACACCCACACCACCTCACTACCCCACCCACACCACTCACCTCACCACATCCACACACCTTCAGCCACCACACCTTACCCCCACCCTCACCCACCACCCTCACCCACCACACACACCCTCACCCACCACACCCACACCACACTCACACCTACACCACCACACCCTCCACCACCCTTCACCCACACCCACACTGCCTCATACACCACATCACACTCACCCACCACACCCCATGCACCACACCCATCACCCACCACATTCACACTACCTTCACCCACCACACTCACATAACCCTCACCACCCACCCTCACAGACCACACACATGTTACCACCACACCCACTCAACCCTCACCCACCACACCCACACCACCCTCAACCACCACCCAATACACCACCCACCACTCACCACACCACCCTCACCCACCCCACCCCACCACCTTCAACCACCACACCCACAGCACCCTCACCTACCAGATCCACACACCCTTCACCCACCACACCCACACCACCTCAACTATCACACTTACACCACCCCATCCACCCAAACCACCCTCACCCACCACACCCCACACCTCACCACCCTACACCCACCACACTCACCAACCACCCTCACCCACCACACCACCTCACCCACCAACCCACCTCACACACACCCACCACCCTCAACCACACCACACCACCCTCCTACCCACACCAACCTCACTCACCACACCCACACCACCCTCAACCACACTACCACCCACCACATCCTCACCCACATACACCACACCACCCCACCACAACACCCACACCACCCTCACCCACACCCCACAACCCTCACCACCACTACCCACACCACCCTCCGCACCACACCCACACCACCTCACCCACCACATACCACACCAGCTTACCCACCCACCACCAACCCTCACTCACCACACCCACACCACCCTCACTCACCACACCCACACCACCCTCAACCACCACACCACAGCACCTTCACCCACCACACCAACACCACTGTCACCTACCACACCCACACAACCCTCACCCACCACACCCACACCACCCTCAACCATCACACCTACACCACCCTCCATACCACACCCACACCACCCTCACCCACCATCCCCACACTACCCTCATTCACAACACCCACACAACCCTCACCCACCACCCCACACCACCCTCAACGCCACACCCACACAACCCTTACTCACCACACCCTCACCAATGACACCCACTACACCCTAACCCACCACACCCACACCACCCTCTCCCACCCCAACTTCACTCACCACACCCACATTCACCACACCCTCACCCACCATACTCTCACCCACCACACCCTCACCCATAACACCCATGTCACCTACCTCACCCACCACAACCACCTCACTCACCTCACCCACCACACCCCCCACACCCACTACACCCACTACACCAAACCATACCCCCGGCCGGGATTGAACCCACGGTCATAGAGTCTCAAAACTCCAGCCCACTACACCCACCACACCCACTACACCCAGCAGCTTCATATTAATGGATGATTTCAAATTTTACTATCCTTTAGATAAAAAAAAAAAATTTCTGGAAGAATCAGCAGTTCAATTTTGACAAGATAAAAGATCATCTGTGACACAGTTAATGTATGTTTGTTTACAGGAGTAGTTGGAAGAACTGGCTCGGGGAAGTCCTCACTGGGGGTAGTGTTGTTCCGACTTGTTGAGTTGGCAGGTGGGACAGTTCGCATTGATGGTACTGATATATCTACATTAGGGTTAGAAGACCTTAGATCACGGCTTTCAATCATTCCTCAGGACCCTGTGCTCTTTATTGGAACTATCAGGTAAGTGGCCTCAACACTTGCTAGTGTATGTTGTAAGTGTCAGGTAAGTGACCACAACACTTGCTAGTGTATGTTGTAAGTGTCAGGTAAGTGGCCACAACACTTGCTAGTGTATGTTGTAAGTGTCAGGTAAGTGACCACAGCACACCAGTATATGTTGTAAGTGTCAGGTAAGTGACCACAGCACTTGCTAGTATATGTTGTAAGTGTCAGGTAAGTGACCACAACACTTGCTAGTATATGTTGTAAGTGTCAGGTAAGTGACCACAGCACACCAGTATATGTTGTAAGTGTCAGGTAAGTGATCACAACACTTGCTAGTATATGTTGTAAGTGTCAGGTAAGTGACCACAACACTTGCTAGTATATGTTGTAAGTGTCAGGTAAGTGACCTTAACACTTGCTAGTGTGTTGTGATAGAAACACAGGCCTTATCTCTAGGCTTTATTGAACATAGAATCTTCATAGTACTTCTGCAACAACAAAATATAATGACTAGTACATCTAATAACTGCTTCTACAGGGATGGTGATGTCTTGCATATGTCAAGAGAAAAGTTATAACTACAGGCCACATACTTAAACTCACCATGTAATCTGCATCACTAATACAGTGGACCCCCGCATAACGATTACCTCCGAATGTGACCAATTATGTAAGTGTATTTATGTAAGTGCGTTTGTACGTGTATGTTTGGGGGTCTGAAATGGACTAATCTACTTCACAATATTTCTTATGGGAACAAATTCGGTCAGTAGTGGCACCTGAACATACTTCTGGAGTGAAAAAATATCGTTAACCGGGGGTCCACTGTATATGGATATAAGAGAAGAGAATCACACACCATGTGTTGGCGCCCATGACACACACCAAGCTGTTGTTGTTGTTAAGGGCCCTGAGAAGTGGTGCAGTATTATCCTGCTGCTGCTCCCCACAGGAGCAGTATCACTACAATCTCCCCCTTCTAAAATATCAGAGACAGTAATCTCCCAAACTGTTAGGTGGGCGACGTATACGTCCTGACCTTCGTAGCCCTTGAGCCTCTTCACCAGGTTCAATATTTTCCAGCAGGGTTTGACTAACTGCTGGAGCAGAATCCTCTATTTCCATGGGGGTAGTCTCAAGGGGCTTTCCAGGAGAAAACGAAGCATCTTTCACATCTATTGGTGTATCTTGAGATTCCACACTAATGGGGATTTCAACTGGGGCTAAATGTCTTGTAAATACTGTAGTCTCTTCACCACTTTGGTAGCGAATGTAGGCGTAATGTGGATTAGCTTGCAGGAGCTCTACCTCTTCCACTAAAGGATCCGTCTTGTTCTTTCCTAGGTTTGACTCTTCGGAGAATGGATCCAGGATGACATAACCAAGTGGGCACGGAGGCTTCCGTAGAGGAACGACATGAATAGTTGAGGAGTCTTTCATGAGGGGTTGCATTAGTAGCTGTGCACAGCAATGATCTAATAGAGTGAAGGCATCGGGTAGGACAGTTTTGCCATGTTGAACAGGTAGATTGTGCGACTTCAATGTCATTGTAACTGCCTTCCATATAGTACCATTGACCGCTCCACTTGCCCATTGCCCTTGAGGGTTGTAGCTCGTTGTTCTGCTGCAGGCAATACCTTTGCTAGCCCAAAACTCCTAAAGTTCGTTACTCATGAACAAGGATCCCCTGTCTGAATGGATATAAGCTGGCATACCAAAAATAGAGAACAACTGTGAAAGACAACTAAAACAGTTGAAGCAGTCATATTTTCACAGGGGAACCAAAGGGAAACCTTGAATATTCATCTACTATTTTAAAGGAAATATCTATTCTGATTCATGCTTGGTAGAGGTCCTTTGAAATCTATATTCAGTCTCTCAAAAGGCTGGGTGGATTTTATGAGATGAGTCTTCTCTGGCTGATGAAATTTTGGGGCTTGCACTCTGCACTTTCTCTGCATGCTCTGATCACTTGTCGTACATCTTCCACTGAGTAGGGCATGTTCTTTGATTTGACAAATGGTACAGGCGCTACTCCTGGGGACACAAAGCCTTGTGGAGCGCTGAGAGTGATTGCAATCATGACATGCTGTCACAAGGGGGACCTAGAGAATGCATCAGGTGAGATGTTCTCTTGACCCGGTCGGTACAGAATATCAAAGTCATAACACGATAGTTCCATCCTCTAGCATAATATCTTGTCATTCTTTATCCTATTTTTGTGCTTCTTGTCGAACATATACATCACGGACTGTTGATCAGTCCTTATGGTGAAATGTCTACCAGTTAAATAATGCCTTCAGTGGTGAACTGCTTTTATGATGGCCTGGGCTTCCTTTTCTACAGCTGCATAACACTTCTCTGATCCTTGAAAAGTTCTCGAAAAGAAGGCTACTGGTCGTCCTGCCTGAGATAAGACTGCAGCAATGGCAATGTCAGATGCATCCGTTTCCACTTCGAATGGTAGGGACTTGAACTACTGAGTTTTCAATGTCCTGTTTGAGAGTATGGAAAGCGGCTTCTGCTTCCTTTGTCACAGGAAATGTGGTAGCACTCAATGGGCAGACTTTACTTGAATAGTTGTAGATCCATTTTGAGTAATAAGCAAAGAGACCAAGAGTTCTTCAGAGTGACTTTTTGTCTTGAGGCATTGGAAGTTCCCGTAGAGGTCGTAGTCGTTCAAGGTCTGGGAATATTGAACCTCCTTCCACTACATAACCAAGAATGCTAAGCCTTTTAGTTGAAAAAGTGCACTTTTCTCATTGCAACTGATATTTTTCTTCTTGGCATTTTCCCAAAAACTTTTTCAAGATTTGCATCATGTTCCTCCTGGGTCTTGCCACAAATGGTAACATTATCTAAATACGTTAGTTCCCATGAGTGCTCTTCTGAATGAGTGAATCCATAATTCGTTGGAAGCAGGCTACCCATTGGTGACTCCAAAAGGGACTCTGGTAAACTGATACAGGCCATCACTAGCCTGAAATGCTGTGTATGGTTTTATCTTCATTCTTATAGGGACTTGATGATAGGCACTCTGTAGATCAGTTGTGCTAAAACACATAGTACTGAGCAATTTTGTTCACTGTAATCTTCAATTCGAGGTAGAGGGTACCCATCAAGAAGTGTAAATTTGTTGATTGTCTCAGAGTAATCGATAGCCCGTCTACGTTTCCTATAATCATCCTTAAAAGCAAAAACCTGTGCATGCCAAGGGGAATTACTCGGTTCTATAAACCCTCCTTCAGCAGCCTCTGAGTTTCTTTCTCAATGAACATCCGATCCTCATAAGAATAGCGGCATGACTTAGCTGATTTTAGGATGGCAATCCAGGTAAGATTTGCAAACAGCTTTGGTGGGTCTACCCTTAAGTGCTAAGTCCACAGACAACAAGAGGAGGGAGTTCACCTCCATATGTTAAAAGGGAACACCCATGCAGCTTCCGAAAGTCCTGACCAAGGATAAAAATGAGAGCACAGTTGTGGCAGAATAGCTAATGTACATCTTGATAGTCCTTTCCATTAACTCCCGAGATTTACCTTACAAAACCCTAAGGTCTGAATAGAAAGAGATGTTGATGCCATGGAAACGGTACCTGATGAGTGATGTACAGTCAAGGAGTGGCGTTTAACTAAGTCCAGGTTGATGAAACTCTCTGAGCTGCCACTATCAATAAGACAAATTTCTTCTGTTCCTTTGATGAAAACTTTCACAACTGCCTTTGACAGTGAATTTGGAAATAGCCGCAGAAGTCATGTTGCTAGGGGTCGCATGATCACTGGAATGTGTGGAGGCAAATAGCTCTTGTTGGTGCATTAGCACGGACATAAATTTAGCAAAGTGACCTTTCTTGTGGCATTTATGGCACATTGTTCACGAGCAGGACACTTTGGACGTGGATGTCTTGAAAAACCACAAAAGAAACACACCGTACCTGCTGCTGCTGTCACTGAGGCAGGTTCCACAGTAACTTCATTGCAAGAGTCTTGGTCAGGGAAATTTCAACACTTACCACTCGAGAAGGCTGGGTGGTACTGTATACTTCAGAATTCTTCTGGGCTGAATCTAGAGCTCTTGCCTGGTCAAAGGCAGTGGCTAAGTTGAGAGTTTTATTCTCCAATAAACGCTGCCTTGTTATTGATGATTGCAGGCCACTGATAAAAGCATCCCTGATGGACTCTTCACAATACTGAGCAGCTGTCACTGCTTGGAAGTGACAGTCCTTACCTAAAATTTTCAGTGCTTGAAGGTATTCCTCTAAGGATTCATCAGTCTGCTGACAAGAAAAATCCCAATCTCAAACACCCCATCTAATGACTAACTCACTGGCACCTACCCGAATACACTATTCCTAGCTCCGACCAACCCAACAGAAGTCTTACTTATTATCAACACACTAAAGAACAAGGTAGGAGAGTTAAATAACTTACCACCCTTTATATACAAAAAAACTTCACAAGTACTGTCACTAATCATTGCAACACTCTTTAACCCTTTCAGGGTCCATGCCACAGATGTACGGCTTTAGGTTGAGGGTCCAAACCATAGAGCTACGCCATGAGCTCAGCTCACTCTGATAAGCTGTGAGTGGTAAATATGGGCCTAGATATGAGAGAATACATCTACATGGTATGTGTGCACCACATAAAACAAATCCCGCAGTACACAGTGCATAATGAGAGAAAAAAACTGAGACTGTAATTTTCGATAAAAACAGCGATTTTGTAGTGTTTTTTCGTATGTTTTTATAGTTGTATTTGTGATTTCTTGGTCTTATTTGATAGAATGGAAGATATATTACAGAAATAGAGATGATTTTGATTCGTTTCAGTACTGAAAATGGATTGAAACTGAGCTCACAGTAGCGAAAATGTTAAATTTTTGCCGATGTTCAAGAGTAAACAAATGACCTCACGTGTCTAATATACGCCAACTGGTGGGTCTAATATACGTTCACAAATGTGGTGATATTATTTATACAATTATTACAACATTGCATATCAGCAAATCTTCTA